CTAAAGGCTGCAGAGCGGGAGCTAAAGGTTGTTGAGCAGGAACTAAAGGCTGCAGAGCGGGAGCTAAAGGTTGCTGAGCAGGAACTAAAGGCTGCAGAGCAGGAGCTAAAGGCTGCGGAGCAGGAGCTAAAGGCTGCAGGATGGGAGCTAATGATTGCCAAGCGGGAGTTAAAGGCTGCAGAGCGGGAGCTAAAAGTAGAGCAGCAGCTTAAAGCATCAAGCCAATACCTAAAAGTAGCAGACTAATTACAGTGTTTCCTTAAGGTTACCTGCCTTTTTTTTTTGTGTGTGTGTGTGTGGGGGGGGGGGGGGGGGGGGGGCGGGGGGGGGGCGGGTTTCTTTGGGGTTTTTGTCGACGGGGTGAGATGAATGAACGGAGCGCTACGTTTGTATTACGTGTGGATGTGGTTTGGAGTCTGAGCTGAGCTGCTACAATCTCCGCGCCCCATCGTGGAGTGGTGGAGCTGCATGGGGGACGGTAGGCGGGGCGCTTGGTTGTTGACAGGGTGGGGCGCCCTCCTTGAATAATGGTAGGGGAACACTGAATAGCTAAACCCTTAAAGTAGCTAAAAGATTGGTAGTTAGCACTAACAAAACAAATGCTTAGTGTAACATCAGCACTGAGTAGCTAACAAAAACAGATAAGTGATAGATTTTTGTTGTCAGCCATCTTTAAGAAGATGATGGTAACTCGCTGAAGTTACCAAAGTTCGCTGTAAATTTCTGCTTGTTCTTGAACCTGTTAGCGATGACATCATCACCTCTCCATGTTTTACATAGTTAGTGAAACAGACTGTACGTTTCTTTTTAATTAAACAGAGCAACACCTGGTTTGTCCTCCTCAGGTTCTTCCGGGGTGACTACACGGTGGAGGTGGCGATCAACGACTACCTGGACATCTACTGTCCTCACTACGAGGGGGCGGAGTCAGCGGAGCACATGGAGCACTACGTATTGTACATGGTGAACTATGACGGCTACATGACCTGCAACCACTACAGGAACGGCTTCAAACGGTGGGAGTGCAACCGGCCGCAGAGTCCCAACGGACCGCTCAAGTTCTCCGAGAAGTTCCAGCTCTTCACGCCCTTCAGCCTGGGCTTTGAGTTCAGGCCGGGACACGAGTACTACTACATCTGTGAGTACTACACTGTACTGGGGGTTCTGGAAGGATCCTAGACCTGGATTGGCAGGTTCAATCTCAGACCAATTGGAAGGGATGATTTTTCTTTTTGTATTTAAAGTTTATTTATAAAGGCTAGTCTCATTGAGTCATGAGGACTCATTTTCAAGAAAGACCTGTTCTAGACAGACAACAACAATAAAAAGCACACAAAATAAAAATAGTGTTATGGAAACACTGTTAATGTTAGCAGCATGGTCCTGTTAGAGTGGTTCTGTTAGTGATACTGTTAGCAGCGTGGAACTGTTAGCTGTGTGGTCCTGTTAGCAGTGGGGTCCTGTTAGCAGAGTGGTCCTCTTAGTAGCATGGTCTTATTAGCAGCATGGTCCTGATAGCAGAGTTGTCCTGTTAGCAGAGTGGTCCTCTTAGTAGCATGGTCTTATTAGCAGCATGGTCCTGTTAGCTGTGTGGTCCTGTTAGCAGAGTCGTCCTGTTAGCAGCATGGTCCTGTTAGAGTGGTTCTGTTAGTGATACTGTTAGCAGCGTGGAACTGTTAGCACAGTCGTCCTGTTAGCTGTGTGGTCCTGTTAGCAGTGGGGTCCTGTTAGCAGTGGGGTCCTGTTAAGGTGTCTCCTAAGATGCTCAGTAGAATTCAAATCAAGGTTCTGGCTGAGTTGGACCTAAGCCTGTCCTATGTGGTTTGTGTGTGTTTGGGGTCATTGTTTTAGAAGGAGAATCTTTCTACCCCTTGGTCGACTTTTTTGTGGAACAAGTTCTTGTATTTTCTGTACTTTTCACTCTAAACAGTCTCCCACAGCATGATGCTGCCACCACCGTGTTTCCCTGTTGAGATGATATCAGCTGTAGAGAAGTGTGGGTCTTACCAAATCCAGTCCAGTCAGTTTAACTTCCCACAGCGGGACTCCAGTCAAAGTGTAGAAACGTCTCAGCAGTGATCATCAAATGGGACATTTTAGTTTTAATAAATGTAACAAATTTAGTTTTTTCTTTCTCATTAAGACAAACTGAGTGCAGACTGAGGAAATCAAATTGACCTGAAGGTCTTCTCATACAGAGTCCATGTTTTTATTTCTCATCGCCCTGAAAGTTTGTTTGTTACCAGAATACCTCATGAACCATCTTGAATCAGGGTGACGTCTAAAATCAGCCAGTTCCACAGATAGAGATAAATTTTGATGCGCTAATAGCTGAGAAACAGGTGGAGTACTTCCTCTGGGTCAGGGGGAGTCTACCTCAGGTGGAGGAGTTCAGGTATCTGGGCGTCTTGTTCCTGAGTGATAAGATGGAGCGACAGATTGAGGTCGGTCAGTCTTGGTGAAGAAAGAACCGAGTCGAAAGTCCAAGCTCGGGATTTACTGGTTTGTCTGCGCTCCAACTCTCACCTGCGATCATGAGGTTTGGATCAGGACTGAAAGAACCAGATCCTGGATCCAAGCAGCTGAAATGAGCTTCCTTCGTAGAGTGGCCAGGCTCAGCCTAAATGAGGAGCTCCATCATCCAGGGGAAGCTTGGAATAGAACCGCTGCTCCTCCGCATCAAAAAGTCAGCTGAGGTGGTTCAGCCTCCAATTTGAGGGTTTCAGGCATGACCAGGAGGAGACCGAGAACTCTCTGGACAGATTATATTCCCTCTCTGGTCTGGGAACTCCTTGGGGTCCCCCCAGGAGGAGCTGGAGAGTTTCTGAAGAGACAGAGGTCTGGGTTTCCATCCTGGACCTGTTGCCTCAGAGACCTGACCAAGGACAGAAGATGGAGATGGTAGCTGAGAGTCATCCACATCACATAGTCTGAGGTCTGTTTAGACTTTGTCATGTGATATTGATTTATGAAAGGAGTGCTCATTGTTTTAATGGTATAAATTTAAAAAGTGCACTGACGAAGATAAATCAACTGGTTCTGATCCCAGAAAGTTAAAAACTGCATCGAAAAACAAAAGACCTTGAAAATAACACTCCGTGTGTGTGTTGGAGATTACTCTCAGATACTACCACATGAAGTTTGTACTCAGAATCTGTCCAAGTCGTGGCCATTTTTTGTGTTTTCTGGTGCCAGGTAGCTGTGGCAGCCATCTTGAATTGGCCCAAAAAAGTTCAATCTGGTCCTCTGGACATTCAAAAAAACAAAAAGCAAAAAAATGTAGAAACGTTTCGTCTCTCATCCAAGAGACTTCCTCAGTCTGAGGAGCTGTATTCAGCTCAGTCTCTTAAATAGCACCTTCTCAGAGTGGATCAACCAGTTTGTTGCTGACAACCAAAACCAGCTGCTCACATGCTCAAGAAGGACCATCAGCCTAACAATGGATCATTAGCACCTGATGGCTGTTTACTACTCACAGAGGGTTGAGTGATACTAGCAATCACAGCATTGTAAGAGGGGGACAGTTGAACCCGGAGGCCTCCACCCCTGTTTAATGATGGACGGTTTCTTTTCACAAAGATGGCCTCCTTTACTCCTCTCTCAAACCATCGTTCCTCTCTGTCCAGGATGTGAACATCTTCATCCCTGAAAGAGTGACCGCTGGCCTGGAGATGAGTGTAGACCTCAGAGTCCTGGCCTGATGATGTTGATCTTCTGTGCTGGGCCATCCTTTTGGCCAGTGGCTGTTTAGTTTCCCTTATGTAAGACTGATCACCCTCCTGACACTGAACAACATACACAATATTACTCTGTTTGTGCCGGGGGACTGGATCTTTGGGATGAACCAGTCTTTAATGTATTTTGGGGTTTAAAAGCCACTGGGACGTTATGTTTAGAAAATAAACGTCTCAGTTTCTCTGATACTCCCTCAACATACGGAATGAGCACTGGTCTGGGTCTGGGTTCCTCCTTTTCACCTGATGCTGACTGGAGTCCTGTTTGGGTTTCTTCTCTGCTTTCAGGAAGGCCCAGTTAGGATATCCACATTGCTCTAGAGCCTTTTTTTTATTTGCTTTGTTTTGTTTTTTTGAATGTCCAGAGGACCAGATTGAACTTTTTTGGATTTTTCTACCTGGATTATTGAGCATGCATCAGGACATCTTGAATTGGGTTGATTTAATTATTAATCTACTGTAGACGTACATCTAGTGAATACTTCCTAAAATTTATTTAAAACTCGTCCACTGGTTCACCAAATCAAAGCGTTCATCTTAATTTTATCCCCAAACTGTTCCTGACTTCTGATCCAGCCACATTCTGCACGTCTATAACCCGGTATCGATGGTCGCAAACCCAGTACCGATGGTCTATAACCTGGTACAGATGGTCTATAAACCAGTACAGATGGTCTATAAACCAGTATAGATGTCTATAACCCGGTACAGATGGTCTATAAACCAGTATAGATGGTCTATAAACCAGTATCTATGGTCTATATACCAGTACAGATGGTCTATAAACCAGTATAAATGGTCTATAACCCGGTATCTATGGTCTCAAACCCAGTACCGATGGTCTGTAAACTAGTACAGATGGTCTATAACACAGTACAGATGGTCTATAAACCAGTATAGATGGTTTATAAACCAGTATCCATGGTCTATAAACCAGTATCTATGGTCTATAAACCAGTACAGATGGTTTATAAACCAGTACAGATGGTCTATAAACCAGTATAGATGTCTATAACCTGGTATAGATGGTCTATAAACCAGTCTAGATGGTTTATAAACCAGTACAGATGGTCTATAAACCAGTGCCGATGGGATAACCTTCAGCAGAGTCAACATGTATTTCCAGTCAAAGATTTATTAGTTTACCCACCACTGACACACAAACCAAAGGTTCTGCTCTCCGATGACCTGATCTGTGACACGCTGACCGTCTGATGAGAGCGTGAAGCGCTCAGCAGGCTGAGCAGCAGCGCGTGTCAGACGGCACAAAGTGAGCTCAGGTTCTGGACCCGCAGACTGCGGGCTTTTTGTTCTGTCTGGGCCCAATTTGTCCTCCAAGCTGGAAAACATTTCCTAAATTGTGGCTCGTTTGGACTGAAAGGCCTCCAGCAGAGACACAGATGCAGTTTGTTTTAAATGACACTTAATGACTGTGCGTGTGTGTCGGTGTGTGTGTGTGTGTCGGTGTGTGTGTGTGTGTGTGTGTGTGTGTGTGTGTGTGTCGGTGTGTGTGTGTCGGTGTGTGTGTGCGCAGCAGGTTCAGAGCAGAAACATGAATAAAACATTCTCTGCGGGTCAGAGTCAAACAGCAGAACAAAGAATCTGAAACAGGAGATTTGATTCAGAAGCTTTTAATATTCATTTTATTCTTTTTTTTTTTTTTTTTTTGCTCAGCGGTTCAGAACCCAAACACTCGGAGCCAGAACTTTATTTGCACTCAGCTGATTTGTTTTACCAACTCACACATAAGGAGAAAATGGAGCCCAAAAGAACGTAAAGGTCCTCAACCGTTCTACAATTAGGAACCACAACCGAAGAGAGGGGAGGAGTTCAAGTACGTCTGATTTTGTTCACAGGGGAGGAACAAAGCAGGAGGTCGACAGACGGACCGGTGCAGCTTCAACAGTAATGTTGTGCCGGTCCATTGTGGTGAAGAGGGAGCCGAGCTGCAAGGAGAAGCTCTCCGTTTACCTGTCAGTCTACATTCCTACATCATCTATGGTCATGAACTCTGTGTAGTGACTGAAAGAATGAGATTGTGGATACGGGCGGTCTAATTGAGTTCTAACTGGACTCTCCCTTAGAGATCAGTTCTCCAGAAGTACAGCCGCTGCTCCTCCACATCAAGAGGAACCCGTTGAGGAGGTTAAGACTTATGGCAAGGATGGACCATGGGCACCTCCATAGGTTTTCAGGAAGAAGACCCAGGACACGCAGGAGAGACTCATTCACAGGACGCCTTAGTTCAGGACTGAGACGTGTTCTGGTCACCTTGGTCCATTCAGAAGACACATCAAGGCGGAGAGGGGGTTTGGAAACAGCCCATCTCAGGTGCGCCTCTGTGCCACCGAGCAAGGTAGTAACAGAGTTGTACCGGCCAACATGAAAAAAGTAAACCACGATGCTGCGGCTCAGTTATGTGATGAACTGATGACATCAGTGCGTGACCTTCCGCTCGCCGGATTAAACAACAAATTACCGAGGAAATGATGATGAGGCTCACAAACTTTTGTAGTTGGAAAAAAATTCACTACAAAGAGGAGCATTAAAACGAGTTAACTCGTCAAGTTTAGTAAATAACGTGAGGGACGTTAAACGTTTAATTCGTCTTGCTCCACATCAGCCCAGCTGAGTTCAGCTCCATGCCTCTTTGGGTTCTGCTCTGCCCACTTCCTTTCTGAATGTTCACATCCGTGGCCCGCTTCATCCGTGGCCCGCTTCATTCGTGGCCCGCTTCATCCGTGGCCCGCTTCATCCGTGGTCGGCTTCATCCATGGCCGGCTTCATCCATGGCCGGCTTCATCCGTGGCCCGCTTCATCCGTGGCTCGCTTCATCCGTGGCC